CATTATTCTTCAAAAAAAAAGTCAGACTGTTATGACTTGGTGGATCTTCTAATTTCGTCTGTTTCCCGTTTCACTCAGCCAACTTTCTAAACTTCCCGCCCACACTCTCGCCATCATGTTTGGACGAACATTTAAAGAAACGATCAACGAGAACAGAGTATGTAGTTATGTTGGGCAGATGGTGAGAGAGGAGACGAGAAAAGAATAACATTATCAAGCATTTTATGGACAAGGCTTCTCAAGGATTGTTATTCCTGGGTTAGCGAGTGGACCTAACGCCTGAGGCAAAAGTTCTGCATTAATTCTGTTTTTGATAATGTAATTACTACTGAAATAAGTAACTTACTTCTTGACAAAATATAAACGCATGAGTCAATAAATACATAAGGAAACGAGAGACCTGAATGAGAAAAAGTGTTTTTCAGCTTCAGTATATAAAACATGCAAGTAAAATAAGAGATACTTCGTTTCGCTTCAAAATTTTGTTTTGTTGACGTGTATGTAAAGTTATTACAAAGTCTGTATAACACTGAGACCAAATTACCAACTGCAGAAACAAATGCCGTCAGTATTCAACAACTATCATCAGATATCGTACGATATATCAATCATTCACAGATTCCACTGATTGTTGATAATTTTGTACAAACGCACCAAGATTTTGCATTCGTTAATCAACTCAAAAATCATGCTATCAATTCGTCCGCCAGTGTCTTTGTCCAAAATATTTTTTCAGATATATTAAAACGATGGTCCAAAAATGGTTTATTAAATGATCAAGATGAATCTGTTTTCCGGCAAACGACAGATTTGTTATCAACACTCGTCAGTACCAATGTTAGTTTGGTCATATTAGACAAGACATTTATTAAACGAATTCGATCATGTATTAAAGACATTGCAGAACAGTACACTAAATATCTAAATGATATTAATGTGAAAAATCTTTCTGTTCAACTTAAAATATTATTTAAGATTCCTAATTCAACTAATTTATTTTCCCATTCGGTTACTAAATGTGTTAGTTCGAAATGTTACGTCAATGTATTTAAATATTTAAAATTAGAAAAAATGAGACCATCCGA